AGTGCGATGCAGTGCGGTGCAGTGCGGTCCAGTGCGGTGCAGTGCGGTCAGTGCGATCCAGGAGGTGCAATGCGATGCAAGGCGGGGCAGGAAAGTGCAGGAGGGTGCAAAGTGGTGCGGGGAACGGGGGACAGTACCAGGAAGTATGGAGGGCCGGGGCAGGTGCGTCGGGGCCGGGCAGGCACGACAAGGCCGGGCGGCGCGACGGCCGGGCGGCTGCGACGGGGCCGGGCGGCGGCGACGGGGCCGGGCGGCAGCGACAAGGCCGGGCGGCTGCGACGTGGCCGGGCGGCTGCGACGGGGCCGGGCGGCTGCGACGGGGCCGGGCGGCAGGGACGAGGCCGGGCCGGACACAGCAGGGCCGGGCAGGGGCGACGGGGCCGGGCGGCTGCGACGTGGCCGGGCGGCTGCGACGTGGCCGGGCGGCTGCGACGGGGCCGGGCGGCTGCGACGGGGCCGGGCGGCAGGGACGGGGCCCGGGCAGGCCACAGCAGGGCCGGGCAGGGGCGACGGGGCCGCGGCGCGCGAGCAGGGGCCGGGCAGGTGCGACAGGGGCCGGGCAGCCGCGACAGGGGCCGGGCGGGCGCCACGCGGCCGATAGGCCGCGACGGGGCCGAGCAGGGGCGACGGGGCCGAGCAGGGGCGACGGGGCCGAGCAGGGGCGACGGGGCGGGACGGGCCGAGCAGGGGCGACGGGGATGGGTAGGGGCGCGACGGGGCCTGGGGGGCGTTACCAAGCCCAGGTAGGGGCGCGACGGGGCCTGGGGGGAGCGCAATGGGCCCAGGAGGGGCGCTACGGGGCCTGGGAGGAGCGCGACTGGGCTAGGAGGGGCGCGACGGGGCCTGGGAGGAGCGCAATGGGGCCCAGGAGGGGCGCTACGGGGCCTGGGAGGAGCGCGACGGGGCCCTGGAGGGGCGCTACAGGCCCTGGAAGGGGCGCGACGGGGCCTGGAGGGGCGCTACGAAGCCCTGAAAGGGGCGCGACGGGGCCTGGAGGGGCGCTACGAAGCCCGGGAAGGGGCGACGGGGCCTGGGAGGAGCGCAAAGGGGCCCAGGAGGGGCGCTACGGGGCCTGGGAGGAGCGCGACTGGGCAGGAGGGCGCGACGGGGCCTGGGAGGAGCGCAATGGGGCCCAGGAGGGGCGCTACGGGGCCTGGGAGGAGCGCGACGGGGCCCTGGAGGGGCGCTACCAGGCCCTGGAAGGGGCGCGACGGGGCCTGGAGGGGCGCTACGAAGCCCTGAAAGGGGCGCGACGGGGCCTGGAGGGGCGCTACAGGCCTGGAGGAGCGCGACGGGGCCCAGAAAGGGGCGCAACGGGGCCCAGGAAGGGGCGCGACGGGGCTAGGGAGGGTCGCGACGGGGCTAGGGAGGGTCGCGACGGGGCTAGGAGCACGACGGGGCCCAGCTAGGGGGGCGAGCGGAAGCGTGAGGGGGGGGGGGGGGGGGATCCTACCTACGCGTGATACCATATCAAACAGTGAAATTGATGAATAGAGAGAGAGAGTACACAAACATATACCTAACAGTTGTACTCTCTAGAAGATGACCCTATACAGTCTATACAAGCATGATAACTAAACATGTTTGACAATATGTAACATACTCTCTAACTGGTACATATGCAATTATGTAGAAGTTGACACACCCCCTAGGTTAGACTAGGGGCATGCCTAGCGAGAGACACCCAGCTCATGGCAGCACTACTAGTCCAACCTCTTAGGCAAGGGTCTAAAGACCAGTCAGCAAGAGTACAAACTAAACAAGAGTAAACCAGGGCGGCACTACTAGTCCAGCCACTAGAATAAGAGCCGCAAGGCAGTCAAGATAATCTAACTAGTAAACAATCAGTGTCGTAGCAAGTGAGGAGCTACTGGAACTCGACAAAGCTGTACACCGTGACGCTGATGATCTTTAGGCGCAAGAGCCTTAGTAAAGATATCAGATGTGTTGGCACCGGAGGCCAAGTGTACTACGCGGGCCTGGCGGCGCTGCTGTAGCTCGTGCAGGAGGAAGTACCGTAGCTGGATGTGCTTCGTTCTGCCCTCCAGTTGGGGCTCCTGACACAGGAGGATCATGGCCCTGTTGTCAGCGTACAGGACTGGGGCAGAGCTAGGCCGCTCACCTAAGTCAATAAAGCAAGAACGTCAGCCAGCGGAGCTCCTGTGCCGCCATGGCACTTGCGTAGATCTCAGCCTCACAGCGAGACTATGCAACAGACGAGAAGTGGGTGGACCTCCACGAGATGGCGCCTGCACCAAGGCTAAATCAGTAGCCCTGGGAGGACTTGAACGTCTCAGCGTCGTCAACGCATGGAGCGTTTGTGTGCCCTGTAAGAACTACTGGTCTGCGTCCTCCCAGCACTAGCCCCATGCCCGATGTACTTGCAAGATAACGCAAAACCCTCTTAGCGGCCGACAAATGCTGTGGTCCGTGTCTGCCTGTCGCCACAAAGCGAGCACAAAACTAAGAGGGTATGCAAGATATGGACGAGTGCAAGTCATCAAGTACATGAGGCACCCCACCTGCTTTGCGTACGGACCACTAGGCTCAACCGGCTCGTCAAGGACTGAAGCAGAGAGCCTGTGTGGTCTAGCGGCAGAGGTGTGGGCTGTGCGGGGGAGAACTGAAGGCCGAACCTCTGAAGGACCTGGTGCACCAAGTGTGAATGTGTGAGAGTGATGGTGTGCGCTGCTCTGTCCCTGGAGATCTGCAGCCCAAGGTAGCGGTGAAACTCTCCTAGGTCAGTACACGTATGTCTCCTCAGCAGCTTGGCCTTCACCGAGGCTAGTGCGTCCCTGTCTGCAGTCGCGAAGACCAGGTCATCTACGTAGACTAGGATGTAGAACGGAGTCGGGGTTGAGCGAACGAAGAACGAAGGGTCCACAGAGGATGGTAAGAGCTGCAGGTCTGCTAACGTAGCACGCACCGAATCGTGCTACTCACGGGGGCGCCTGCCGCAGGCCGTAAACCGGGTGCCGGAGAGCCATTCTGATACAGGAGGGAAAGTACCAGAGAAGCCTGGTGGATGGCATTGAAAGACCTCCTCGTCAACACTGCCCTGAAGAAACTCTGTAGAGAAGTTGAGGGAGTGCAACTCCTAGTCGCGATGTGCTGCTATGTAAAGCAACGTCTGAAGAGTGGCCATCTTCGGGGTCGGGGCGAAGGTCTGAAAGATGTCGACACCCTCGCGCTGACTGAAGCCTCTAGCAACGTAGCACGCCTTGAACACCGTCGTCTCTCCAGGAGGGCGCTTCACCTTGAAGAGCCACCGGCCATCGACTACGTTCATCCCAGCTGGGAGAACTGCGTCGATGTACTTGCCAGTGGATCTCCAAGATGCCGTCTCCGCGTCCATGGTAGCTATCCACTAAGAGGCACAGGGTTCCGAGGTCGTCTCAGCGTAAGTGCGAGGGGTCAGGATGTCAAGGGCGTCTTGGTCACCCTCAGGGACTTGCAGCATGGAGCAGAGATGAGGAGCGGCCTCGGACAGGTAGCTACAGTAGCTCGTACTGCCTGTCCTCTAGGACGTCACTGCCTAGGGCAAGTTCACCCCCGACAGACGGAGGACAGGCAAGGTCAAAGACCAGAGCGGTGGCGTAGTCAAAGGTGGCGGGTAGAGGCAAAGTCTGTAACAGCCCCGACAAGAGCGTCGAGACTCGAGACAGGAACGGACGGGTCGGTAATAAGAGAGGCGAGGACCCGAGGGATAAGAGGACGAGCAGCACGAAGAAAGTCAGAGAGAGGAGGCGGAGAGACAACAAGAGACAACTGAGGAGGTGACGGGAGAAGAGGAGCACGAGACGCTTGAGAACAAAGCAACATAGGGGTGAGAACGCTGAACCGGGGAGACAAGACGAGCACGAGAGGGACGGCAAGACCAGAAGTGGGACGAAGGCGTCGGGTCAGGAGACACAGGAGGATACACAAGACGAGAACAAGAGGGAAAACGAGTCGCGGACCAGTCTGACGGAGGAAACATAGGGCCGTAGACAGGCGGCAGAGTGGCACCGGAGAGGGCTCGGGCGGCCGGTCGGGGGAGGGAAGACCGAGGAGGCGAAGGGCGGACACCCCAGCGACTGCTGCTGCTGCTGCTCTGCGCCCATACCACAAGCTCCAGCCGCTCCACTACGACCTCCAGGACTAGCCACAACAGCACCCCCAGAACTAGAACCCTCCCCAGCACCTGCGCCACCCCCAGGACCGTCGAGACGAGCCACGGCAGTAACCCAGGACTAGCGCCCCCAGAAACAGCACCTTCCTCAGCGCCCGCACCCCTAGCACCCCCAGAGCTCGTGGACCCCTGCGGCTGCGGCTGCTGCAGCAACAACGACAGCTGCTGTCGCGGCGGCGTCGATGGCAGCGGCAGCGGCAACTCCTGCTGCTCTAGAGGCGAAGGAGACATCGGGGCGGAGGGAGGAGACAGGGCGGACCCTAAGCCGCAGGGCCCCCAAAGTCAGCGGACTCCTCCACCGGGGTAACCAAGGGAAGGGGAACGACGTGAGACACACCAGACGGGGCAGGATAGGGAGCGGGAGCTACTGGGGGAGTGGGGACAAAGAACAGGGGTGGGGTGACCGAGAGACCTCGGGGGAAAGCGGGTGTAGAAGGAGACAGACTCGTCAAAGGTGACGTCACGCGAGTGAAAGAGGCGATGAGACGGCGGGTGGTAGAAGTGTCAGTCAGACGTGTCAAGGGGGAAGCCAAGGAAGACACAAGGGACGGTACGGGCAGCGAGATTTTCCGTGCCAGAGGCGCGAACATGAGCGAGACAGCCCCCGACGTGGGTGACTCGGGTTCAATTCCCAGTGCCAGCGCTGCAGAGGCGCTCGTGTCCTCCGCCTATCCCAGCGAGGGGGGGTGTCGAGAGACCCGTTCGGGTTGCTCTTGAGAAGATCCTCGGGGAAGGGCCACAGGCCTCTATGCCGAGGGGGTTATGGGCGCATTGACTCGCTATTTTACAAGCCATTTAACTCAGTGGTTAGTGACTGAGTTCTGACACTTTACGCATGTCATTTGTACACAACTTCCGAAATAGCTTGTAGTGCAAAATCTCTACGTAAGTCATGTCTAAACTTAGAACTACATACCTGTTTTCAGGTGCCTCAAACGTGACCTCAAGAGTTCGTGGACATGTGGTCCATCTTTCCTCCACAAAATGTACTAGCGCCTTTAGTCATAGGAATGTAGTGTCGAGAGACCCGCTGGGGTTGCCCTTGAGATCCTCGGGGAAGGGCTACAAGCCTCTCTGCCTGGGGGGTGGGCGCACTAACCCGCTACGTAGCTCCCAGACTCATAGGCTTGTAGCGCCCGTTACGACCAACACCATCGATGCAAGCTCTACAGAGGCAGCGAGCTGCCACTCTTGAACGCCCTGCAGGCCAAGTATTGGGGCCCTTTGCCGCCACACCCGCTGCAATGCCCGCATGCTGTGCCTCAGCCCGCTGCAGTGCAGGCAATGCAAGTTGCAATATAGAGGACCTACAGAGGCACCAGGCTGCCACTTTTGAACGCCCTGCAGCCCCAGTAGTGGAGCCCTATGGCCGCCATTCCCGCTGCAATCCCCGCATGCTGTGCCTCGGCCCGCTGCAAGCAGTGCTGGTCCACCTCCAGAAGGGCAGTGAGAGCACCGACGGGGCTGAGCTTGCTCCCAGTGGGGGGCTGGGACGGTAGTGAGGAGTTGCCGGTTGACTGGTGCTGGGACGGTAGTGAGGAGTTGCTGGTTGGTGGGTGCCGGACAGCAGTTGAAGATCTCTTGATCGGTGGCTGGTTGGCTGCTGCCGAGACAGTACGTGCGATTGGCGGTTGATCCAAGGGAGATTGGCGGTCGGAGGCAGCAGTTGCGGGGGTGATGGTTGAGGTGGTGGGAAGGCAAGAGGGAAGGGGTGTGGGATGTAGCAGGCGTACTCTCATGTTGTCTCTTGAGGTGAGGGGAAGAAACGAGCGGACCTGGGAGGGAGAGAGGAGAGGGGGTGAAAAGGCCGATTTCAGAAGAACAGGCACGAGAGAAGAAGGCAAAAGGCCGGAAACTGATTAAGGAAATGTACCTTTTTTCCTCCTCATGTTGGAACTACACCTCGAAGAAAGGAGTAAACCTATTTCTATACCTCTCTTGTTAACACACTATTCGCTCTTCTCTCCACTCACCATCTCTCCTCTCCACTCACCATCTCTTCTCTCCACTCACCATCTCTCCTCTCCACTCACCATCTCTCCTCTCCTCTCACCATCTCTCCTCTCCTCTCACCATCTCTCCTCTCCTATCACCATCATCAGTGCATCGGCTGTCGTCTTCACCCCAAATGCCTTTCTGCTCTACCTGCTATTTCTCCCTCACTCGTATCCTTCCCACCCTCTACGCCATCGCCCCATCCCCCCCTTAGTTGCTACAAACGCTCTGGCAGACGAGCGTTTGAACGCAAACGCCAAACGAACCCTAAAACGCAAACGCTCACTGGGTTTTTTTTTCGGGCTGCCCCCTGGAAAAAAAATCGAAAATTTTTAGGGCGAAATTGAGACTTGGCGAATTCAGCGCGACATTCGCCAAGTCCCAACTCCCAACCATCTCATCAATATTCGCCTCTCAACCAACTCCCCCCCCTCAACCGCACTCCACACATCGTCAACTAGAGCTTCCAACCCCTCCTCCTCACATCTCGTAGTTTCACGCAAACTCCCAATCTCCTTCCCCGTCAGATCTGCTTTCTAATTGCCGCGCGCCATAGCCGTAGCAACTTTCACACCCCACGCAATACATTAACTTAAGGGCGTTCGCCCATGTCAACCCCTGAGAGCATGGGGAGTGGTTGTTGTTGTGTTTGGGGAGGGAGAATGGGCTTTAGGACATGTGTTTTGCATGATATTTGAGGATGCTTGGTTAAATGTTCATGACGGATTTTATTTTCTTCGACAAAATGGTTGCTTGCAGAACCCCCATTTCCCCACCCCCCCACAGAATTTTTTTACCCCTGCCCGGGCAAGCGTTTGCCTAGCGTTCACATACACTATGACAAGCGTTTAGCGTTCAAACGCCAAACGCGTTTGTAGCAACTAAGATCCCCCCTTCCTCTCTGCCACTCACCATCTCTTCTGCCCTCTCCACCAGAATGAGCGTGTCTGCTGTCGCCTCCACTCCAAACGCCAGTCTGCTACGCAGGCAGGGGGATGCTGCTAGGTCCCAGTTGGGCAAGCCCGCTACTCTGGCTACTGCCTGAAATTGTGAGAGCGACAGAGGGAGAAAGAGGCGGAAGAGGTGTAGGGAGCAATAAGCCTCAACCCCAAACGCCAGTCGGCTGCACGGGCAGGGGGACGCTGCTAGGTCCCAGTCGGGCAAGCCTGCTGCTCTGGCAACTGCATGAGGGCGGTGTTGGGGGGGAGGGACCAAGGGGGGACATCGGAATCTGAGGGAGGCCTTAACCTTCTTGAGCACCAGTCAGTTTCGCAGGCAGGGGGAGGCTGCTAGGTCCCAGTTGGGTAATCCTGCTGCTCTTGCTACAGCCTGTGGGGATGAGAAGGAGAGAGGGAGAGAGGAGTGGAAGGGAGATGGCGAGGGGGAAGCCTCCACTCCAAAAGCCAGACTGCTGCGTCGGCAGGGAGAGGCTGCTAGGTCCCAGATGGGAATGCTCCGATTGGGAAGCCTTGCTGCTCTGGAGTTGAGGGGAGATAGTAAATGAGAGCGCAAGAGAGCGTGAGAGGGAGCGAGAGGGGGGGAGAGGAATGGGAAGGTTCAAGTACACTCCATTTCTAAGACATATAATAGGAGAGTCCACTCACCGACACAGCAGGCTATGTCAGGTGTGCGGGGGGAGACACGACACAGCACGGCAGTGCAGAGCAGCTAGAAGGCCCAAGCGGGAGGGCCAGGAGAGGTCATGCATCACTAACCCAAGTAGCTGTGCACTCACGTGCATTGCAGCCTTGGGCAGTCGAGCGAGGGGGAATGCATCAATGATTTAATGCATCTTTATTACCAATATAGCTGTGCACTCACCCGCACTGCAGCCTGGGCAGTCGGGCAAGAGGAGTCGCCACGTTACAACGCAGTGCAGCCAGGAGGCCCGCGAGGGAGGTGAGGGCACTAATGCATCTCTATTACCAATACAGCTGTGCACTCACCGCACTGCAGCCTTGGGCAGTCGGGCAAGAGGAGACACCACGTTGCAATGCAGAGCAGCCAGGAGGCCCAAGCGAGAGGGGTCTGAGAGGTCGTCCGCATTGGTGCCATTGAAAGAGAGTGACTGTGTGTTCGTTTGAGGGAGGAAGTGGGGAAATGGGGAGGGAGGGGGGGGGGGGGGGGGGGAGGTTTAGTCATTGAAGATTGTTACTTAAGGGCCACTGCGGTATTATAGAGCAGACCTGCCAGGAGGCCCAAGCGGTAGGGGTCTGAGAGATCGTCCGCATTGGTGCCGTTGAAAAGAGTGACTGGGGGAAGGGATTGGGAGAGGCACAGAGGGGTTGAGAGGGGTTGAGAGGGGTTGAGAGGGGTTGAGAGGGAGGGCTCATTGGGATTCCTCTGCACGGGAAGGGTTTGAGAGGCCATCAGCATTGCTGCCGTTGAAAAGCGTGACTGGGGGAAGGGAAGGGGAAGTGGTTGAGAAAGGTACAGAGGAGTGGGAGGAATTGAGAGGGGTTTGAGATGGGTTGTAAGATGCCATGCTAGGATTGTTCTGCTAGGCAGAGAAGGAATGTTAAAGTGTGCAGGGTAGTTTTACTAAGTGATCTGTTAACAATGATCTGGTAACAATGATCTGGTAACAGTAATCTGGTACGAAGTGACCTGGTAAGAAGTGGCATTGCACAAAGTTACCAGATGAACACACCATACCTCCCAGCTTACCTCTGTTCCTCGTGCTGTTTGCGATTCCCATCCTCGCAAGTGACAGCTGCGCTACAGCATGCAGAGAGTAGAGTAGAGAGTGGCCCTGTAAGCCTAGGAGATCCCATCTCACCTTCTGCTTTTGCTGTTACCATTCCCATCCTCATCAGGACTGTTCGCTAACAGATGCAGTGTGGTGTAGAGAGTGGCCTGCAGCATAGCAGCTCGCTCCCTCATGGCTATGTATTCCGGCACCTGATCCTCTGTTGTTTCCACCTGAAGGGAGGAGAGGGAAAGGAAGGGGCAAACAAGGTTCGAGCCGGATGACATATGCTGTGATCCAAGATGGTTCAAGCTGACTTCAGACGATATTAAATAGCGACCTATGATAAGTTAAGCAGGATAACTCAAGTGCATAGGTAACACACTGTGGGTCTCTCAATCCCAAAGTAGATCAACACGACGTAAAAAAACAAAAACAAAAACAAACAAACAAAACAAAACAAAAAGGCTCCAAAGAAAGAACTGGGAAGCACCCACCTCCCATAAGGGAATGCCTATGGCTGCTGCCACATGGCGAGCTGTGATAAGCTGAGAGGAGGAGAGGGAGGGGCTTAGGGGCGATCACTGCTGCGACTGTGGGTGGAGAGTGTGAGAGTAAGTGAGAGTGAGAGTGTATGTGTTGTGGTGAGTGTGAGGGTGAGTGAGAGTGGAGGGTGAGTGAGAGTGTGAGGGTGAGTGTGAGTGAGAGTGAGAGTGTGAGTGCAGGTGTGAGTGAGAGTGTGAATGAGAGTTAGATTGTGAGTGAGACGGTGAAGGCACTTCTGAAAGTGCTCTATGCAGAAGCAGGGCTGCCAGCGAGGAGTCAACTCCGCCTGAAAACGCCACAGTTGACACCCGACGGAGAGGCGAGCGAGCGGGTCTCCTGCGGTGGGGAGGTGAGAAGAAGGCACAAGGGTACGTGTATGGGTGAAGGGAGATGAGAAGCCCAAGAGCAGTGAGGAGTCGATGCCCCTGAAAAGACCACCAGAGGAGAGTATGGGTGGTGCACATGTCTATTGGTGTGGTATACATGTCTATTGGTGTGGTACACATGTCTATTGGTGTGGTGCACATGTCTATTGGTGTGGTACACATGTCTATTGGTGTGGTGCACATGTCTATTGGTGTGGTACACATGTCTATTGGTGTGGTACACATGCTATTGGTGTGGTGCACATGTCTATTGGTGTGGCGCACATGTCTATTGGTGTGGTACACATGTCTATTGGTGTGGTACACATGTCTATTGGTGTGGTGCACATGTCTATTGGTGTGGTACACGTGTCTATTGGTGTGGTACACATGTCTATTGGTGTGGTACACATGTCTATTGGTGTGGTACACATGTCTATTGGTGTGGTACACATGTCTATTGGTGTGGTGCACATGTCTATTGGTGTGGTGCACATGTCTATTGGTGTGGTGCACATGTCTATTGGTGTGGTACACATGTTTATTGGTGTGTAATGAGTCGATTTTTGGGTGTCATTACACACGTATGGGTGTCATTACACACGTATGGGTGTCATTACACACGTATGGGTGTCATTACACACGTATGGGTGTTACACACGTCTATTTGAGAGCAGCAGAAACAGCAGAAGCAGTACCTTGGCCTCAACAGCATGTCTGGACACACACTGCTGTTGCTGTTTCTGCTGCTCTCAAGCAGCAGTATGTGTCCAGACATGCCGTTGAGGCCAAGGCACTAAACGATTCAGCAGCAGCATGGGGAAAGGGTGAAGGTGAGGGAGGGTATGCTTGTCACACATGTCACGCATGTCACGCATGTCACGCATGTCACACATGTCATGCATGCCACACATGGCACGCATGTCACACATGTCACACATGGCACGCATGTCACACATGGCATGCATGTTACACATGCCACACATGGCACGCATGTCACACATGTCACACATGTCACGCATGTCACACATGTCACACATGGCACGCATGTCACACACGTCACACATGTCACACATGTCACGCATGTCACACATGTCCATTTGTGAGTGGCAGAAACAGCAGCGGCAGTATGGGCCCATTACTAAAAGCATCAGCAGCAACCAAACCTGTATTAGCTGCTGCTGCTGCAGTATTATGTCTCTATTAATAAAATCTTCGGCATCAGCACACCTGTATTAGCTGCTGCAGCAGCAGCAGCAGCAGCAGCAGTATTGTGTCTCTATTAATAAAAGCTTCGGAAGCAGCACACCTGTATCATGTCTCTAGTAATAAAAGCTTCGGCATCAGCACATGTCTTTCAGTATTGTGTCTCTATTAATAAAGGCTTCAGCAGCAGCCACACCTGTCTTATGTCTCTATTAATAAAAGCTTCGGCATCAACACACCTGTATTAGCTGCTGCAGAAGATCCTCGGCCTCTTGTGCCGTTGCTGGTACAGGAAGAACCTCGTTATAGTCACCCTCGCTCTCTCCTGAGTCAACCCCGTTGCTGAAACCCTTTTGGTTGCCATACATCCGAGCAACAGACCTCATCTCACCCCGCAGGTCAGCAAGAACGGAAGGGGCGGTATGGGGGACTGCGTTAGGCTCGAAATTTTTACGTCCGTCTGGGTCGTAGGGGCTGTATGATGTGATGTATTACAACCATTGACGTCTGATTGGGCTGCTGCTGACGTGGATGAATCTGTTACTGCGAGGATTGCGGGGCAGCTGACCTCAGTGCGGTTGGGTGCGGTGCTGTGGGTTGTGCATAATGTTGTCTCGCTCTCTTGTCTCGCCAAGCGGCTAGCAATTCAGGGAGAGACGGAGGGGGACGAGGAGGGTCCAGAGGGTGGGGAAGAAGAAAATCGTGCGTGGAGGGTCGTCCCAGTTCGGCTGTATGGGATGGGGTAGGGTGCAGTGCGGTTGGATTCGGTGCAGATGACTCCACGGATGAAGACGATGCAGGTTCAGAGCCGCTGGGTTGAGACTGTAGAGTGTTGAGCGGCTGAATGCGGTACTGTTCTGTGCACTGCGGTTGAGTCTGCTGTGGCTCAGTGCGGTGTAGTGGGTTGCAATGCAGCTGAAAACCTATTTGAGAGGGTTGCGAGTACAAAGAGAGACGAGCTCGGCGAAAAGAATGAGGGGCCGAGGCAGAGGGAGGGCAGAGGCAGAGGGAGGGGCCGAGGCAGAGGGAGGGGCAGAGGCAGAGGGAGGGGCAGATGCAGAGGGAGGGGCAGATGCAGAGGGAGGGGCAGATGCAGAGGGAGGGGCAGAGGGAGGGGCAGATGCAGAGGGAGGGGCAGAGGGAGGGGCAGATGCAGAGGGAGGGGCAGAGGGAGGGGCAGATGCAGAGGGAGGGGCAGAGGAGGGGCAGATGCAGAGGGAGGGGCAGAGGGAGAGGGACAGCGAAAATGCAAAGATGCACCCTTTGATAGGGGCCGAGGCAGAGGGGCCGAGGCAGAGGGAATGGCCGATGCTAAGAGAGGGGCCGAGGCAGAGAGACAGCGAAAGCGGATGGAGACTGAAAGCGGGCGGCTCGACCACGCGGTCTGAGCAGCCTCGAGACAAGGCGTAAGGCAACAAGCGGGCGCGGTGGACGGAGCGACGAGCGCCATTGGTGTGGGATCAAGCAGCGCGCGGGCCGCGTTTCTGGCTGATCAACAACGACCGTCGACCATTAGATAATCATCAACTATCAATAAAGACCGGAGATTATCGGACAATCGTAAGAACAATGGAGAACGAGCGGGCAGAGCGGAACGGGGGTCGTGACCGTTCGAAGATTCGCAGATTGCAGGATTCGAAACTGCTGGAACAATATTCATGCTAGCAGGCAAATGAGCGAGCGAGCGACGTGTATTGTTATGAATGAACAAGCAGAGTAGCGCGGAAATGAATAACGAAGTGTTCAATCAGTCGAATTGACGATACCATAATCATCCGGATAGACGCCCCTCCGTAGGATTAGTCCCATGGGCTCTAACTCGTGCATTGGGACTTATAGGCATTATTCGATTATAGGCCCCCCATAATTTTTTCAGAACATGTACCCTATAAGCCCCCTCAGAAATTCAGTTGAAACACTGTACAAATAGACCGAACGGGTGCAGGTAATACGGAGGCTTCTCGCTTCGTGCCCGTCAGAGGCGGGAGCACCTGACACGCTCCCTGACACCTCGCGCCAGCACGATTTGTATCAGAAAAGGAAGTTTCCAGCCTGGCACCGCGTTGACTGGACTTCCAACGCGATTGACTTTTAATCCTCGCCTAAAATTACTCCCATTGCACACGACAAACCAGCAGCTACACGTCGATGTCAAACTTGTATTTTCCATATAATCCCTTTAAAACGCCAATGGGCTTATATTTCTTATTCAATTAAACGCGCCCCCCCACGTTTTCAAACCAGTCTATTAAACGCCCCTAGGGGCGTCTAACCGGGTGATTACGGTACAAGGAATGGCAAGCCAAGATATAGGAACACCAGAGCTAGTCTAAACGTGAGATGTGAAGGTTCGAGAAGGAGGTCGAAGGGTCTCGAAGTGACGAAGCTGTCAAACATCTGCATTTGTCATGTTTGTATAGACTGTATAGGGTTACCTCTTAGAGGGTACAACACTTAGGTATATTTGTGTGTACTCTCACTTTACAATCTATTCAATTCTCATTTCTGATATGGTATCACGAGTAGGTAGGATCCCCCCCACCTACCGCTTCCGCTCATGCCCCCTAGCGCCCCTCCTGGGCCCCGTCGCGCTCCTCTCAGGCCCCCTAGCGCCCCTCCCAGGCCCCGTCGCGCTCCTCCCAGGCCCCCTAGCGCCCCTCCTGGGCCCCGTCGCGCTCCTCCCAAGCACCGTAGCGCCCCGTCGCGCCCCTCCTGGGCCCCGTAGCGCCCCTCCTGGGCCTCGTCGCGCCCCTCCTGGGCTTCGTAGCGCCCCTCCTGGGCCCTGTAACGCCCCTCCCAGGCCCCGTCGCGCCCCTCCCAGGCCCCGTCGCGCTCCTCCCAGGCCCCCTAGCGCCCCTCCCGGGCCCCGTCGCGCTCCTCCCAGGCCCCGTAGCGCCCCGTCGCGCCCCTCATGGGCCCCGTAGCGCCCCTCCTGGGCCTCGTCGCGCCCCTCCTGGGCTTCGTAGCGCCCTTCCTGGGCCCTGTAACGCCCCTCCCAGGCCCCGTCGCGCCCCTCCCAGGCCCCGTCGCGCTCCTCCCAGGCCCCCTAGCGCCCCTCCTGGGCCCCGTCGCGCTCCTCCCAGGCCCCGTAGCGCCCCGTCGCGCTCCTCCCAGGCCCCCTAGCGCCCCTCCTGGGCTCTGTCGCGCCCCTCCTGGGCCCCGTCGCACCCTGCCCGACCCCGTCGCAGCCGCCAGGCCCCGTCGCGCCCGCCCGGCGCCGTCCCAGCCGCCCGGCCCTGTCGCTCCCGCCCGGCGCCGTCGCGCCCGCCCGGCCCCGTCGCAGCCGCCTGGCCCCGTCGCGCCCGCCCGGCCCCGTCGCAGCCGCCTGGCCCCGTCGCCCTTGCCCGGCCCCGTCGCAGCCGCCCGGCCCCGTCGCAGCCGCCCGGTCGCCGTCCCGCTCGCCCGGCCCCGTCGCACCGGCCCGGCTCTGCCGCACTCGCCCGGCCCCGTCGCCCCAGCCCGGCCCCGTCGCGCCCGCTCGGCCCCGTCGCCCCGTCCCGGCCCTGTCGCACCAGCCCGGCCCCGTCGCGCCCGCCCGGCCCCGTTGGGCCAGCCCCGGCCCCGTCCTCCTCACTGGTACGGTTCCCCCCCACCCCGCCCTGCTCCGTGCCGCCCCGCACCACACTGTACTGCCTGGCACCGCACTACACCGCACTGCACTGCACTGCACCGCACTGCACCGCACTGCACCGCACTGCACCGCACTGTACCGCACTGCACCGCACTGCACCGCACTGCACTGCCCTGCACTGCACTGCCCTGCACTGCACTGGACTGTTCCTGATGGCGGCGGAGCTTCGCTTCGACGCTGAAGGCCAGCCCCTAGAGTTCGAGGCGTGGCTTGCTGACCTCCGCCGTCAACTCACTGGCCAGCGGCAGGATGGTGAACCGCTTTCCGCACACCTTGACGGTACGCTCCCCTGCCCAGACCCCCCTGCTATTCTGCCCGCTGACCCCACACCCACTGAGCGTGAGGCTACTGCTGCCACTGCCCGTGCGCGCTCTGTCTGGCTTTCTCGCGATGCTGTTGCCCAGCTTGCCATTAGCAACGCCCTTCCCCCATCCGAGCGTCCTCGCTTTAGGTCCCTCACTACTGCTCAGGCATACTTAGATGCTGTGATCAAGCGCTATTCCACCCCTCCGGCTGCCTCGGTGGGTCGCCTGATCCTTCCGATGCTCTTTCCTGACCTTGCATCTTTCCCCACTGTCTCTGACCTCGCTGCCCACCTGCGCTCGATAGATGAGACCTGGCGCGCTGCCTGCACTGACGCCCAGCTTAGAGCCCACCAGCCGCCCATTACCTCTACCCTCTACCTGCTTGCCACCCGCCTCCCTGACCGCCTTGCTGTCGCCCGCGACCGCTTTCTTAGCGTTCACCCCACAGACCTCACCCTCACTGACTTTGTAGACACCCTGACTGTGATAGAGACCCGTCACCGCTCCATGGCCCAGGCGAGCGGTGTCGTGCCGGTCCCTATCTTTCAGGGTTGTGCCCCCGCTCAGTGCACCTTCTCCGACGGCTCTGCCGCAGTGGCTGCGACTGCTGCTGCAGCGCAGGTCCGTTCGGGGAAGGGCCGCCGCCCCAAGGCTGGGCGCGGCGGAGGAGGCGGCGGGGGTGCGGGCGGGGGTAGTGGTGGGGTCGGGTCGCCTGGTGCTGGAGTGGACGAGGGGACCCTGCCCAGTTCAGCTGAGTCGCCGCCCCTGCAGGTGCAGCAGCCGCAGCAGCCGCCGCAGTCGCAGCCTTCACAGCAGCCGCAGCAGCCGTCGCAGACGCGGCAGGCGAGTGTCCTCCCGCCAGGGTGGCCCGGCGCTGGCGGTGGCCGGGCGCGTGGTGGTGTGCCGCGTGGTGGCTCTGGCGGCGGGCGTTGCCAGTACCAGATCCAGACCGGTCCTCGCCGCGGCTTCGTTTGCGGTAAGCTCGGTCACTCCACTCCCCGCTGTTTTCGTCGCCTGGACGACCTCTTTCGTCAGCGCTTCGGCCCGTCGCCAGACCTCCCGGACTGGCACAGTTTGCTTAGTCGTCAGATTCAGATTTTTGATATGGACATGGATGCCATTGTTTCTGCTCTGCATGTGATGTATGCTGATGACTCTAGTGTGCTTCCCGCTTATTACTCACTGTTGCCTAGTGTATGTGTGCCTAGCTTAGCCTCCCCTGCTGCGTCAGGCGTAGGATCCCCTGCTTTGTGTAGTCTTGGTGCTTCCGCAGTCGTTCCGTCGCCAGACCCCTCGGCTTCGCTTTCCTTCACTTTGGACTCTGGCGCCTCTCGGTGTTTCTTCCGCGACTCCACCACCCTGACGCCGCTTCCTGTTCCTGCTGCCGTTTCTCTTGCTGACCCCTCCGGCGGTCCGGTAGTCGCCCGCAGTTCCACCACCCTTCCCTGTCCGGCGGTTCCTTCGGGTTCTCTTACAGGTCTGCATATCCCCTCGTTCTCCAGGAACCTAGTTGGTGTCGGCTGCCTCCAGGACCTTGGCGTCACCACTACGTTCCCTGGTCACGAGCGGTATGCTGTCTGTACCGAGGCCGCCACTGGTGCCCCCCTGTCCACGTTCCCCGGGACCCGGTGTCCGGCCTGTTCACTCTGGACACCGTGACCCCCCCGGCTGGAGCGCCCCCTCAGGTGGCTGCGTCTACCCAGGTTGCTGCTGCCTGCTCCTGTCGCTCCCTCACTCACCCGACCCTCCTGTGGCACCACCGCCTAGGTCACCCTGCGCTCCCGCGTCTGCGTCACATGTCTCAGCACGGTCTCGTCCTTGGTCTCCCAGGTTCGCTCCCCGCGTTTCCCTCCTCTCCAGCCCCACCTTGCACGCCTTGTGTCGAGGGTCGGCTTCGCCGTGCCCCTCACTCCTCCTCGTTTCCCCCTACCGCCGCGCCGCTGCAGACCCTGCACCTGGACGTCTGGGGCCCCGCCCCCGTCCCTGGGCCGCGTCGAGAGCGCTACTTCCTTGTGCTTGTCGACGACTTCACTCGTTACACCACCGTCTTTCCCCTGGAGCGCAAGGCCGACGTGCCTGGCGCTCTCATCCCCTGGCTTGTCTCTGCGCGTGTCCACCGCGGTCTCCCTGTCTTGCGTCTTCACTCAGACCGTGGTGGCGAGTTTGCCTCCGGTGTCCTTGGTCGCTTTTGTCGTGCGGAGGGCATCACCCAGACGTTCACCCTACCGGACTCCCCACAGCAGAATGGGGTCGCTGAGCGACGCATCGGTTTGGTCATGGAGGTCGCTCGCACCTCCATGATCCATGCCGGTGCACCCCATTTTCTGTGGCCGTTCGCTGTGCGCTACGCTTCCCACCAGCTTAACCTGTGGCCGCACCCTCATCAGCCGCAGGTTTCGCCGACCCGTCTTTGGACTGGGTCCCCTGGTGACGCGTCTGCGTTCCACGTCTGGGGATGCCTTGCTCACGTCCGTGCCTCCGGCACGGACAAGCTCACTGCCCGCACCCTTCCCTGCGTCTTCCTCGGTTTTCCCCTTGACGCGTCGACTGGCACTTTTACCACCCGCCGTCTCACCGCTTCTTTCACTCTCGTGACGTCACCTTTGACGAGTCCGCCTCCTACTACCGCCGCTTTCCCCACCGTGGTCCCCCGGTTACCCCCCCCTGTTCCTGGTCACCCCTTCCCCGGTAGTCCCTGCCCCTCCTCCTCCTCCTCCCCGTCCCGCC